AAAGGGCATCGCTACTAGGAGCAAGAGGACGCTACTAGGGGCTCCTGACTCTGCACATCAGAAATGCGTTGAAATCGAAAATTTGGTAAATCTACGGTGTTTGCCCCTTTACCACGCGTTGTGTTGTCCTGGAGTGCATCAAAAACAGCAAAGGCAGAAAACCGCCAGCAAACACAACAGAGCAGCATGCGTATGTATATGTCCTACAGTACACAGAAATGTAATCAAGCCTGTGCGCAAAACGCTGCAAACAAGGAAACAGTGCGCACGTGGATTCGCAACAAAAAAAATACAGTAATAGAGCACCAAAATGCATCCGTGCATCACTCAATCCATGTGTTTTCAGCTTTGTTATCAAGCCTACAACTTGACGAAGTCTGTGCACCTTCTCGAAGAGAAGATGCAGATTTTTAGATCTTAACCAAAGACAGATCAGATAGACTCTTGCTTTGAACAGCTTTGGCTCTATGGTGGACAAATCAAGATTGGCTGGCATTGTTTTCTCGCTATTTCATGTGGGACTTTTCTCACTCCATGAGTTTGGCTGACCTTTGGAAAATCGTTTCTGCCACCGCAGGATTTTACCATTTTACTCTTTTACCCCGCGCTTATGTGCGTGTGTGTGTGTGTGTCCACCCCTGGACAAAGGGTTTTCCACCGCTACTCCTTCCACTGTTTTTCAACCACCTTTTTCAGTCACATGCAGGGGAGTGGAGCAGGCCTGCAGAGCTCCACTTAACAAAGCTCTCTGCAGTGTCCTGAGGATATCAGCAAGGACGCTTGCTGACGTACCTGCACCAGAAACTGTTGCTCAAGCTTTTCCACTTACGATTTGATTCATGGTGGTTTCACATGCTAGTCCCCAAAACCAGCTTCCTTCAGCCGCTTTCCGCTGACTTTGAGTTTGCCGCTGCAGTCATGTGATTGAAACAATTATGTTCAAACACCTTCAAATGCCTGGACATTTCACCTTGCTGTTCCACCGCCATCCTTCCCACCGTGGTAACTGAGTTAACTGAATACAAGTGTCAGAGTGTGTTTCGCTCAGCCGTCCCACTCGGGTGCTGAGTGTGATCCCCGTCACAGGGGCGCGGTTTTTCACATCGGAAAGCAACCAACCCAACATGCCACCTCTCACCGGATTTCCACTGGAAGTCTTCGACACACCCTTTGAATCAACAGACGCATTGGCCGCCGGGCCCAAACACGGAAGTCCCTCGACAGCCGCCGGGCTATAAAACGGTGCATTGTTTAACCCCCAATGAGGCAGGTTCCCCCACCCCCCCCCCCGCTGAGTTCTACTCCCTACCTATTTGGGGCAACATAGGGAAATGGTACTCGACACACTTGTGTGTCGGTGCCTTTCCCTGTGTTGTTCCTTTTCTAGTCTTTCCTACCCGGGCGGTCTAAGACTAAAGTCCCGCTCCCTAACTATTGCACCTAATTAAGACCTGCTAAGTAGTCGGTAACTAATTCTTGTTGAAACCTTCTGTTGATCGGACCCAGCACTTCTTTCCGTTCCCTCAAGTCAAGGGCTAAGTATTCAGTAACTAGAGTGCTAGGTAGTCAGTAACTAGAAGGTTTTGTAACTAGTGGGCCTCGTAACTACCCCTATCTTTCTTTCTTCCCCTCTTAGCGCTGCTCTTTCTGTTTTTCTTTCCTTTTGTTTCTAAGGCTTTTTAGGTGACTATTTAGTTTTCTCACATGCGCGCCGAAAAAGCGCCGAAGCCGGCGACCTGTGTGTGTCCACCCCTGGACAAAGGGTTTTCCACCGCTACTCCTTCCACTGTTTTTCAACCACCTTTTTCAGTCACATGCAGGGGAGTGGAGGAGGCCTGCAGAGCTCCACTTAACAAAGCTCTCTGCAGTGTCCTGAGGATATCAGCAAGGACGCTTGCTGACGTACCTGCACCAGAAACTGTTGCTCAAGCTTTTCCACTTACGATTTGATTTATGGTGGTTTCACATGCTAGTCCCCAAAACCAGCTTCCTTCAGCCGCTTTCCGCTGACTTTGAGTTTGCCGCTGCAGTCATGTGATTGAAACAATTATGTTCAAACACCTTCAAATGCCTGGACATTTCACCTTGCTGTTCCACCGCCATCCTTCCCACCGTGGTAACTGAGTTAACTGAATACAAGTGTCAGAGTGTGTGTGTGTGTGTGCTCGACATTTTACGTTTTTACCGCGGGCCTCTGCAGCGGAAACTCCGTAACCAGAAGACACACCGCGAGCCAGCGCAGGGTAGACCTTTGACGAAGAAGTGGCTTCGAACTCATGAGCTCTTTTTTGGCTCTGAGTTTTTGAATGCTAGGAGCGAGGGTTGGGTGGGAACCATGCAGCACCCTCGACGAGACCTTGGTAGCGACTTAAATAGTTTTGACACGCAGCAACGCTCAGGCTGACCAGTTCGCCAAACAACAAGTGTCTAAGCTGTATCATTTTGAGCTTTTTGGATCGTCACCTCCCTTTCGTCGAAGCTGTTGCGATCCAAACGCACCTTGTATCTGCCTTGGCTCGAAGGGTCGAACAGTGCTTCTTAGCTCCTTCTATCGAAGATCCGGCTTGTCATGGCCCTAAAGTTTCCTGTGTGTTCTTGTGCACAGGCCTTCCGGGTAAGAGAGAAAACAAAGGCACACATTGTTGTCCTATTGCTCTCTTTGCCTGTATTGAATGTTCTTTTGTCACCAGGTGTGAGGGCGGAGCCGTTGATCTGGCGCTGTTTCCGCCCCTTCGAGCGAAGTTTCCCTCTCTGGACGCCCTTTTAAGCAACCGATCATGTGTCCATCTCCCTTCAGAAGTATCGTTTGCCGACTTTGCCCATGGGAGACAGAGGTTCTCACCTGCTGTTCTACAACCCCTTTATGAATACTTCGGTAGGTTGAAATCGCAAATGTTGGTGACAAACACAGCGTCAAAACGCCTTGGTTGCTACTAGTTTTCGACTTTGTTGCTGCTTTCCGGATAATCAGTTGCTCTCTGGTGACTTGACTCTTCATAAAGCCACCTGTTGGTTGAGGTCCTTCTTCAAACATCTTCAAATGCTGCGCTTTCGGGGGCACCTTTTGTCCCCTACTGCCATTGGGGATTCGGCGAACTCGTTCCCTTGCGCACCGGACTCTGGTATGCGTACTAGTAGCTTTTTGTTACTACTAGTAAGGCACCTGTTACTACTAGTAAGGCACTTGTTTCTAATAGCTTCTTATGCCTGTGCAAAGGTTTCCCTTATCCATTTCAAGGGTAAACCCGTGACGCTTAGATCTTTCCTATGGCACAATTCCGCCGAGCTCGTAAATTCAGTCTCACTATGTCTGCAAAGTAGGTCTTCGATCCCGTGGGTGAGTGGCATGAATGGAGCGGCAAAAGTAATGAAATCCCCCTTAATGCACGTGGAGCAAGACAGGAAGTGTCCCAATCGACAAAGAGGAGACAAACTCAAAAAACCTGCCCAGATATCCTTCCACAGGCTTTTGCATTTACTGTGGAAAGAAGATTATGGAACATGCCACACCACCTTCTCCCACAAGCTCCAAGACTGAACCCTGTGATCCTGAGTCACGAATAGCCAAAGGACCGAGGCTCTCGATCTTGAGCTGGAACTGCAATTTCTTGAGTAGTGAAACGTTGCTGTTGTGGTGGTGGCTATTGCTTGTGTTTCCCTACGGGGTTCTTACTTTTGCTGTGCATCCCGTCCGCCTTCCTTCTGGCTCCCGCCTGCCGCCGCCCGCTGCCTCCTCACCAACTCAGCTCACACCGACTCATCTCCTTTACACTCACTCACTTGCATTCCCTCAGTTACGCTCGCTTGCACTCAGTTTCTTACACTGTGTTTTGCAGTTTCGCATCTCCCGACCTCGTGGTCGGCGATGGTTGACTGGCCTCCAAACCCTTGCGTTTGCGATTTGCCTCCCTTACTAAGATATGGTAGGAGGTTCTGCTGATGCGCCCTAGTAGGGGATGGGAGGTTCTGGCACGGTCGGCTGTGGTCAGCTTTTGTATGAGCATGTTCTGTAATTGCTGCAAGTCTACAGCAAGTGGCATGTTAACAGATTGGGAGGCCGCATGTCACAGAGCATCCAACAAAGCACATTTGCTTCAAAGAAGAGACGGTGAGGCTAAGGCCTGGGGATTCCCAATGTTGCAGGCAACCAGCTCGTCAAAAGGAAGGCCGTGGTCTTGTTTCTCCAGCTGCTTCTCCAGGCTGTACGAGCGGGTCCTGAACCGAAGCTGTTGAATCTTGTCTTTGCTCAAGATTCCACGAATCCGACCAGTCTATGAGACCAAGACCAGCGGACACCAGACCGGACGGTCACTGCAGAATCGAACACCAGACCACCCAACCAAAACGGGACCAGGGTGCAGTGGAGTCCCTGCGAGGTGTGGGGATGCCAGGGGTTTCGTCCAGGAGCTACACTGACCGATTCTTGTTAAAGCAAAGTAAAGACAACTCCAGCACAGACAACCCCAACCTGCGATAGCTAGCTTTCATGATCAGCTCAGCTCCCAAACACTGCAAAACGTCCAAATTGAGGCGAGAATCACAATTTCACCTCTCACGGCATATTCTGCATCCAAGATTTTCTGAGGAACCTGAACTCAGATATCAGGAAATGAAGCTTGGTTTGCTATTGACAGCAAAGGAACAGATTCAATTGTGAGGCCCTTGTCAATGCAACCTGCTCCGAATGAGCAAGTCCTGCAGCTGTCGTGATAGATGGCTGGTGCAATGACCCCCAAAGACATGAGCGGACAACACTGTCGAAACTTTTGGCAGTCCCATTGTTGTCTTCGCAGGATATAAGCTGCGGCAGAAGCACCAAGACACAAAGCACCTTCCGCACCTTACACACACACACACACGCACGTCACATGCCTCTAAACTGAAACAAGCAATGCCTTAAAAGGCCAGTGTTGGTTGAAACAACTAAGACTCACCTGACCCACGAAGAAGTGCCACCACATGGCTGGAACAAAATGGATCGAAGGATCGGAGTCGATCGGAGTGTTATGCTTTATTATGTTCTTTGTATTTATTATTGAACAATTTTAAACACCTCTTCGACCAGTAAGCCCCTAGGCCAAGTGGTATTGCATCTGTTTCGAGCTTGCAGTTCATGCTGGGTTACTCACTGTCTGAGAGAGAAGGCTGCAGAAGCAAGTCATTTGACAGGCAGCAGCTTCCGCGCAAGGAGTTCCCATAAAATGTCTCTGATGGCAAGGGTCGCACCATTATGCCTTCATCGTATGCTTCAAGGCGTCAATTTCCTCTGAGCTTCGCAATCCCAAAGGTGAGCAGTGCACACTATACAGTAAAAAGGTCGGTCATAGGCCATAGGTTATCGGTCTTACAGTATCAAAAGTGGGGAAAATGCCTTTTTACACCCTCCTGATCCCTCTTCTTGATCTCTTTCTCGTAGCCTTTGATTAGGTCCTCCGAATAAGACATGAGAGCACGAGAAGACTTAGTGCAGAAGTTATTGAGGTACGTCCTCACGCTCCATTGCCAATAGCTTGCTGTGGGTCCTCTCCTTCAATCCAGGAAACATCTTGAGATGTCACCCACAAGTAGAAAAGGCTTGGAAAAAAAGCTTTTTGGTCAGGGCGTACCAAAATGCTGGAGGATTTTGGCCTTTCATCGGTTGTCTTGAAAGACAGCCAAGTTCCAACCTGTCAGTGTCAAACTCAGACTCATCTCCAGCTCTTTGCTCCATTCTTGCTGAGCATGCCACGGACGGCTTCAAAGCAAATGGTGTCTTCGGCTTGGCTGGAGTGGCCTTGAGGTTGCCCAAGGCAAGACTGCAAAAAGGTTTGTTCGCTTCAAAGCTCGAAGATTCTTTTATATAAAAGAAACAACACGTCTAACTCTTCTTGGGCTTTTGCTAAAAAAGGAAAACGCATGCTTTGTTTGAATGTGTAAGATGAGGCCATCACAGATGAGGCTGATCCAGTGGGCGCGGCTCGCTTGGGTGCAGGAGCAAGCCAAGTGCCCACTGATGGTCTCAGCGCAAACCTTGCAAACATTGATGTGTAGGGCCCAGAACTTGTGACCACAATGGAAAAGACTTCCAAAATGTATCCTCAGTGTCTGACTTTGGCTGAGCTTCTTCCGCCTGAGAAATCTGTGCATGACGGTCACACATTGTACTTTGTTCCACTTGAGCCAGTCACAGGAGCTTTTGGAGCAGGTTTCGGCTGGCTCGGAAACTTCGAGTAGAGCTTCTGGCAGGCAAGGCTCGTGAACGCACAATGACTAGTAGCTTCTTGTTACTAGTAGGGATAGCCTCCACCTAATAGCGTCCTTGCTACTAGCAGCTTCTTGTTGCCAGAAGTAATGCCAGGAGCTACTAGTAGCGCCCTTGCTACTAGTAGCGATGCCCTTTGTTGCTAGTAGCTTAAAACTATTCGGGGAAACCTTGTTTTTCCCCGGTAGTAGCTACTAAGTAGGTAGTGGTGGCTTCTTAAGCCTGGACGCAGAAGGACTCAGGATCAAGGAGATTACCCTCAAAAAACACATACATCACAACAGAACACAAAGCGACAACATTGGTCAAAAATGCTGGGGTCAGGAATAAAAGGGAAGGAACCCCATTTATTCCCAGGTGCCAACTGTGGTAGTCGCTTTCTCGGAGACTTGCTTCTTCAGTTTGCAGGGCACGTGTCTTTTTTCAGAGTCTTGATGCTCAAAAGGCCATGTCCACTACCACTCTCAGCTGTTTTGCAACACACCCAACCCTAGTGGATCTTCCGGCATGCACGTACATAGTCTGTACATGGCCACAACACACAACTCCGGATTCGCATGTCCATCCGCTAAATCTACATTTGTGTGACTGTAGTAGAAGAAGAAGCAGTTCCTAGAGGATGCAAGGATACATTGTCAAGCTTGACCAGCAAGACGTATGTATAGCGTATTACTGTATTACTATACTTTATACCTGTCTCAGCTAAATTGTAGCCCCAACAGCACTCCACCATTACTATCCTGAAGGAAAATACAGTAAAACGGTAACTATGTAGGGAAGAAAAAAAAACAGGAAGGAACTATCATAGACTAGACTAAATACGTTTTGGCCTAAAGTACTGCATTTTACTCCACCCGAATCCTGTCTGTTTTACACAAAGAAAGCAAGAGTATGTATATATTATACACTCTAGCATGCATTGGTGAAAAATATGGACTTGCGGAAAAGTGAGCAAGCCAGGACACACACTCTAACGTGTTGGAGAGTCTTACTCTACGTAACCATGCATGAGAAGCAGTTGTAACAGCACAACACAGTATCAAATATCAAGGTATGAAGGGCCGGAAGTCAAAAGCAATGATGGCTTACGAATCCTGTGGCTTTCTCGAGCTTTCTTGATTGTAGCCGCGAGACTCTAGCCCCTCTACAATACTCCACGCATCCCCACCATATTCCACTCTACCTACCTGGTTACACGAGTCTGGTTGCTATGGAACGAGAGGATAGGATAGGAGACAAACTTTAAACGTCGTAAACTGAGCAAGCCAGGACAAAGAAGAGAAGAACGAGGCAGGGCAGGATAGGGTGGAAAGAGAATAGGCTGTCAAGGCTCAAGAGGTGAAGCATAGAGATGAGTAAAGAGCTGGAAGTGCGGATGCAATTTAACTAGTTGGAGCGATACAGTGCAGTAAATGCAAGCTAAATAATGCACAAAGTATTCAGGTGCCTTGGTTGAGAAACTGCTCTTTTTTTGGACAGTTTGGAACTTTCGGATTACATCGGTAAACTAGGGGGAAAAAAAACAAAGAACCATTGTAGAAGTAAATAGAAACGTTTGAATGAAACCTTGGGTATTGCTTTGCGATTCTTGGCGTCAAGGTCAAAGCTGTTTCCACACCCTAGAGATGCGTGTCTAGGACGCTCAGAATTGCCTCACGACCTTTTATTGTTAGCGCAGATCAATACAGCACGATGATAGGCTAGTCCTGGGTTGTGGACACTTGCCGGGGATGATAGGCTAGTCCTGGGTTGTGGACACTTGCCGGGACATCAAGGGTAGAAATCAATATGAATCTGAACAACATTTACATTGTACATCATGGTGCTAGAATAATGCAACGAATTCAAGTGATGGTTCTTGTGTTACTTGGTTGAGAGAAAAATTGATGTGTTTGGTTTCCACAGAACCTGCGATGGAACTCAACCGGACAGTATTAATTAAGTTGCAATGCAAGATCTTCTGATGCATCCCGAATCAGTCAGATTACGATGCGCACGAGGTCTTCTGGAAGTGTTTTGCAGTGAATTTTGGTTCAAAATTAATAAACACACACAAACTTCATAAACACACATTGTCATATGGTTTGCAAAACAGCTAGCTTATCTCTCTGCCTATCTTGTCACACTTGCAGGTACTTATGTCTTAATTTTATATATTTATATACATATATAATCATATATATATATACAATCACATACCTGAGAAGGGAGAGGATGAACACCCTTCAAGCAGACCGCGAACCGCACAAACATAATTAGTCTTTCAACGTATTTTCTTTATATACAGCCGCTTTCGGGGACCTAGCTAGATTCCAGAAGATAGCGCTCCCTTGCTGGTGCCTTTTTGTCTTCCCCAAAACCGTGACGAAACACACATGCCCTTCCAACAAGCCGCAAACATAGTCTTTCAACGTATTTTCTTTACGGCTACTTGGGGAGACTTAGCTAGATCCCAGAAGGTAGCGCTCCTTTGCTGGTGCCCTTTGTGTCTTCCCCATGCCTTCACTGGCTTGACCTTGGGGCTGCAAAAGGATGAGTGGATTGAGCGATTGATCACTCACCTAGGCTCCTTCTCCCAGACTACCACAAGTTACCCTTTTCTAGTGTGCAAAAGGAGTCGACACCGAACAAATGGTGCACCCCCTGGAACTGTGAATGTGCAAGGGTTGGAAGTGAGACGCTCTGCTTGCAAGAGCGTGGGATTCAACCAGCCCATCAGGCATATTCCCCAACTCATGCATAGCCACGACAAGCGAGCTGTCCACTTATAAACAATATCCTGGCCACTTTGTGATGCTAATGATGCACGATTCAACATGTTTTGCTTCACAACACACATGTTGACTACATTTTGCCCCAAGCTTTTTTGGCTCTCCTTGACCAGGCTCTGGGTGCCACCTCACAACCATCCCCTAATACTCACTTCGTTCGCCCATCAAGCAACTCTAGCCTAGCCTATCGTCTGGTTTTCGTAGTATGTCGCCCAAGGTGCGTCCAATATCGCAACGTGGTCTCCGACACAGAACCCGCACAGTTCTTCACCATGCTAGGATGAGTACGGCATTCTGAACCGAACATCCGGGTGCTGGCGGCCGTTGTCGCGAAGCCAGAAGTGTATGGTTGCCATGCGTTTTGCGGCCTCCATTGCGTCAGATCCGACGCTGTGCACATGATCAGCATAGTACTGCCTCGAATAGCGCTGTTTAAAGAATTGTAGAGGTCAACAACTCTCTGCTATTAGGTTGGAGGCCATCGCTATTAGGCTCTCAATTACTCTCTGCTTGTTTTCGGGCCTGAAATTTGTGAGTGACGCTGGAGTTGCCTTCATGGACTGTTCTGCCCCCTGCACAGCCTAGCAGCATAGTGACACTCCTCTGGTGCAAACCGGTGCAGAATCGTCACTGAGTTTGAGGCTTTTGGAGGCAAAGGTGGAGGCGACTGTGCTTGTGAAGGCAAAGGAGGAGGTGCATTCAAACTGGTCTCACGCAACTTCGCCTTACATGGTCTCAAGGAATATTAGTAGCAAGAAGCTACTAGGTTGGAGGCCATCGCTAGTAGGTTGGAGGCCATTACTACTAGGAACAAAGAATCCACTTAGACAGCTTTTTCAGTCATTTGGTGCACTTTCCAGCCTTCAAGGCGGCAATCTCCCCATCCTTCTCGGCAATCACTGCCTGCAGATTCTTGACAACCTGGGCACAAACGGAGGATGGGGCAGTTGTAGCAAACTACTGTACCAACTTCAACTGTTGCTCTTGTCAATTCGAATGCCCTGGCACCTTCTCATCCTCAGCTTCCACCACTGCAACGTTTTCGTAATACCAAGGCTTTGGAACCTGAAAGCAAGAATGAAGAGGACCAATAGTCCACGAGAGCTCATTAAGCCCGTTCTAAAATTACATGAGATAAGAATGAGCCAAGAGCTTCAGGCAGCTTTCATGCCTGGTGGGGCTTCTTCACAAGCCAAGATCCGACAGACCTCAGTCTTTGCAAACTTTTCAGGCATGCGAAGAAGCCAGAAAAGTTGCTGCAGGACAGCACATTTAGCCTCGAACGGCTTGAACTTGAAGTGCGGCAATTCAGTAGCTGAAGCTGCCTTCACAGGAATCTGTTTAAGAAAAACACATTCAAGACTCAAGCATGTTGTTGTTGAAAAGGTATGAGCATGTTTTGAAGAGTAGTTTCGTTTGGACATGCCACTTCAGGCACCTGCTGCGACTTCTTTGGGGATTTGCCTCAAGGTCAACTCCACTTTGCATAAGAAAAACAGTTGACAGGGAAATTTGACATGTTGAAACAGTTGTGAAACAGTGCCATCAAAGAAGTGGACAGGCCTTGGCTGAGGACCTGGTCCAATGCACCGCTCATTGAAGCACGGAGCAGTGCATCTCGGGCCTGGCAAAAAGCCAAAACAATGCCTGCGCAGCCTTGCCAACCTGAGGTTGTCTAAAAACCCGTCTACCATATATATATGGTACCCCCCCCCATGTACCCCCCATTTCTGTGTGGTTCACACTAAACTTGGAGGTAAAGACATGTTTCATGTCTTGGTGTCAGATGTGCAGGGGGGGTACCACATATATTGTTTGAACTCTTGGGGACAAGTCTTACTTCCCACATCTGAAGGTCAAAAAAGTTTAAAAAATGTCTAAAAATTTTAAAACTTTTGGGAGCTAAGAACTAAGAACTAAGAATGCTGTTGGAGAGCCTGGGGGAATCTTAGTTCTTAGTTCTTACTTCCAGAAAGTTTAAAAATTTTTGATTTTTTTTGAAACAACTGTCTACCTTTTTGGTGGTAGGATGGTTTTTACCCTGTGTTGTCCTGCAATTGGATGCATAAATATAAGCGGAACGGCTGACCAATGCACACAAATAAGGACATATGTTTTCCAAGGTTGTGAAATTAGAGAACAAGGATACATTCCATTTCATTTTGTTAGTAGTATCTAATGCAATTTGCAATTGCAAATATAGCAAATACATAATGGATATAATTGATCATGTGAATTTCAAAATTGTCAACTCAGTTTGTTTCATTGGACTTGCAATTCAACAACCAAGACTTCTGTGTAATCTTGGTTCTTGGTTTCTTGGTTCCAGGAAAATCTTAAGATTTCTGCAGATTTCGGAAGACTTTCGTCACACCACAGGATTTGCATCTTTTGTTCACAGCTACCATGGGTCCGGAAGGACATTCTTTACAAATGCAATATTGGATGTGATCGAACCCTCGGACCTTTTTGTCCGATCTTGAAACGGCTTCAGGTACACGCGTCGATTTGCGCGTGTCTTTCATGACCTGCACTCCTCCCTAGTTCGGCTTTATGCCTGAACTAGCCAACACAAGCGAGCCTCCAGCTCAAGCCGTCTCTCGGCAGATCTTGCACTGCCAAACTCCAACATCGCTCCCGTCACGGCTTCACACCTGGGATTGGTGTGGTGGTTCGCCAGCTGATCCTCGTAGACGAAGTCAGCTTCTCTCAGGCTCCGTCGACCCTGCATTGCCCTCTGGCATGCTCCACACACTGAGTGTCCTTGCACTCTGTTGGCATTCCGCAGTCTTCTGCACTCTCGCCTTCAGTGAAAGCACTGACTGGATTCTGCGAACCAGATCTGCCATGGATGCCCCAAGACAAACCGCCGATCCGTCTGATTCGGAGGTTCTTCATGCGGTTCTTCTTGATCAAAGCGATCACCCCCATGAGCTCCTTGAGTTCCCGGATCATACTGCTCTGTAGGTCGAATTCCACCTCCCCTTGTAGAAGATGATGAAGCTCTTGAAGCACCTCCATCACGGCTGCTCCCAGGGTCTTGATGCTCTTGCATGGTATTCGACCTCCCACCTCTTCCACCAACTGATCTTGCAGAAGGTCTCGTACTCGATGTAGTCCAATCGCCCGCCAGCCTCATACTCCTCATGGTTGAATCTTCCCTCTGCTCATTCCAACGCTTATGGCATCGTTGAAGGACCTTCATCAGTACCATTCCCAGGATCATCATGATCACTCCAAACATGCAGAGCACCTCTGACCCATCTCCTTCTTTCGACTCTTTCATAGTGTCGTTCTTTGTGGCCAATGCTCCATGAATCTTCTGGAACATCGTGATGACCGTTACCAGTTGTGTGACTTTCTTGAAGTCATTCTCCAACCACAGGCGACTTGCCACAGGAAGATCTTCTTCTGATTCATCTTCTTGTTTGTCTGCCCCCTTTGGTTGCCATCCCATTTCCATATTTCGCATGAGGTTCTGCGTGCGAGTTGGTGCTAACACCTTCGCGCCAATGTCAGCGACCAAGTCCTTCCCGGGCTCGTACTTCAGCTCCCAGGATCCAGCCTCAAGTTTCCATCGAAGATGTGCTGCTCTCACCTTCAGGTAGCGTGTCCTACATGGTCCGGTGGCTGAGCTTCCCAAAGCAATTGCCGCCGTGTTGTCGCACTTCAGAACTTTCTGCATGTTCCCGGCCATCTCCCCAACCTATGACCTCAATCAACTCTGCCTCGGCAGTTGAGAGCGCTGGAAAAGGTTGTCTGGAAGACTTCCAAGCGATTGGTGAGCCTCCCAACAAAGTGATCACAGCCCCGTGAGAATGCCCTCCACCAGGCGCAAACGAAGCATCACTGGTTGACTCCAACCCAAATCCACACTTCTTGCGGTACCAAATGCCAACACCTTGCGAGTGGTTCAAGTAGCGCATAGTAACTTGATGTGATGCTTTCAAGGCCCAAACTGGAGCTCTCGATGTGGATGAGCAAATCCGACTCACGGCATAGGAGATGTCTGGCCTCGTCTTCGTTGACAGCCATAGTAGTTCCCCAGCTGCTTGTTGCGCTGCGCGAACTTCGTGCTGAGTCTTTTCTGGTTCATCTTCCGGTTCAGCTGTAGTCCTCATCACCAGATTCGATGCCTTGGAGTCGATGGAGTGTCTCCTCAGTAGCTCCCTTAGGAATCCGCTCTGGTTGATGAAGAAGCCCTCCGTATTTCTGTAGATGACAAAAGCGTAACGGATCTTCTCCCGCCCAGTGTGGTTCCGTTGTCTCCCAAGTTTGAGACACTCTTTTCGTTGCTTCTTCAACCACTTGAGGATCACCGAGGACCAACAGGTCATCTACGTAGACCAATGCCAACCCACGCACTAGGCCAGAAGACCCATCTGAACGGTCCTTTCTCGCAAGATCCAAAGGTTCTCGTCCGCAAAGCTCTGGTTGAAGGCAATCTGAACATCATTTACCTTGAACTCCATGGTCGATAGTTGAGCATCACGGTGATCTCCCCATAGTTTCGGCGCTTCTCTTAATCCATAGAGTGCCCGCTCAACCATCCACATCTCTCCTTCTTGAACCAAGCCCAAACGAATTAAGATCCGTGGGGGTTGCATCAGGACCAAACGCTCCCTTCGGTTTGGGTCCACACCTTCCTCCACGTCCTGTTCCATTGGTTGATGCCCTCCTTCTTCTCGATCTTCCAAAGCCAGAAGCTTCTTCCTTTTGCTTTCCTCCACAGTGCACAGAGGGGCGTTCAAGAAGGCTGTTTTCACGTCCAGGGCAGCTGCAGTCCAGTCGTTCTGGGCTCCCACAGCCAACGCCGCCCTCAAACATGTATCTGCACCACCGGCGTACAGTTGTGCCGCATCCTGCTTGGCTCCTCCAGCACCTGCTCCACTCAAGTAGTTTCCGCACACCACCAGACGACACTTTTTGCGAGCATCCGGGGCCTTGATGGAGTGGATCGCTTTGCCAGGAACGACCTCCAACTTGTCGCTGTGTTCCCGTCGGTAGTAGGCAACATCTTGTGGAGTCAGTCGCCTGATGGCTTTCTTTTCTTCCAGCGACTTGATCTCCTTGATGATGGCCTCAATCCATTCTGCTTTGTTCAGGAAGACCTCTTCATTCGGGATGATACGTGTCTGCAAGATCTCATCCTCTACTGGCCTTGTGGCTTCTGCTTCTTGCTCGGCTCGAAAATGGAGCTAGCCCCGCTGCAATGCCGGAACTTCTCTGGGCTCTGAACCCAGCAAGTGTTGCTCTTCATCATAAAGGACCCGAAAGAGGTTGACCCTGCGTTTCTCTTCTTCTTCCTCTTCATAGGTCTTCAAGCATGCAACACTGGTTTTCTCCCTGATCCTTCGTCTCAACTTCAACGGATCTTCATCCACTGTCACCTCGACCAGTGCCAGCTCGTCCTGATCCTTCACCGGCTCCTTAATGTCCTTGATCGTGTAGCTCACCACCTTGATGAACCCCCTGTCCGTGAGGACAGCATGTCCTTTCGACACCTCAGGAACTGGTGTGAGGTACTTCACCAGTTGACTCAAATGCTCCTTGTCGTTGTAGCTCCCAGGACCTCTTCTTCACCACCACAGTCTGGCCAAAATGAGGTAGCTTCTCCGTGATCTTTTCTCTACGACGTCTCTCCAGTTCGACCACATGCCTTGCGGCTGCCGGCCACTAGCACGCCTCCATACCAGCCCCATGCAGCAGTCGTCGCGCCCTCTGCTTAATGGACTTGATTGCCGCCTCAGCTCTTCCATTCTGGGCATGCTCATCAGGGCAACTGGTAGTACGCGACAGGCCTCTTTTCAAGCACCACCGTCTGAAAGAGCCATTGCAGAACTCTCTTCCTTGATCAGTGTGAACTCGTCAAACTGGGTATCCATGTCGTCGTAGTTTAATGAAGAGTTCTTGGGTCCCCGCAAGCGCTTCTTGAGCACTCTTTGAACTCAACGGAACACAAAGCATCATCGTGAAGACTTTGGTCGGCTTGTACTTCGCCTTCAACTCTTCTTCAGTTGGTTCACCCGGCTCTACTTCCTTTTGTTTCTCATCTTCTTCAGGAAGTACTTGAGCCTGGCCGTCTTTTTCGCCCGGTTCAGGTTCTCCTCCCGGGTGTACCTCCATCTTTTCTTCATCCTCATGAACTCCGGGCCTTCAGCCTCGGATTGAGGATAGTAGTCGTCCATGTCAGGATATTCATCTTGCCAAGGTTCCCGAATTGGTTCAAGAGGAGGAATTCCCTCAGCTTCCTCCTCCAAGACAGGCCATTCTGGCTGTCCTTCAAAGATCTCGTCTTTCTCCCGTTAATGCCCTTCATAGACCGGCCACGTGTAGGACCTGACCAGGAGGTACTTCTTCTCGTCTCCATGGTTCGGGGATTCCCTGAGCTCGATGAGGTCTCTGACGGGCAGCTGCTCGTTGACATACTCCACAATCCCTTCGAAATGGAATGTGCCCTTGCGCCAAGTGTTCCCTCCATGACAGAACTTGTAGAGCTACTCTTTTCTTGTGAATGTGCTTGACCACCTGGGTTGCTACTTCCCTCATCATTCCAGGAGCCCATCTGGCAAGACCCTTGCTCGTCACTTCCGCTCG